CCTCGGCCAAGCTGTAGAGCCAGCCCCTCTGGGCAAGCAACTCAGAGGGAAGTTTCTGTCTGCCAGATGAGCACAAATGCTCTTCCTAGATTGGGCTTCAGCATATGTGCTGTTTGACCTGTACACCAAGATTCTTTCTCACACAAGGCCCTCTGCGAGCTGACTCCTACTGCTGCTCCCCTGGACCTTTTATCCAGCTTCACAATCTCTGCTTTCATATGTTCTGTGCTCTCCCTCTGGTCCTCCTTTCCTCCCTGTGTCCCCTCCTCCCCTCCCTGTGTCCCCTCCTCCCCTCAACGTCCCTCAAGACTCAGTCTGTGCCACCTGTCCTGGAAAGCCTTTCCTGACACCTACCTTGCCCTGCTTGTCCGAGTTACACGTCCTTCCCGTGTATTCCCTGTTACACTGGTCCTGACCCCCGCTGCAGCATTCACGCTGGGCTTTCAACATTTGCACACCTATGATGCAAAATTCCGTAAGCTACTTGAGGGCAGGGACTGGATCATATCCATCAAGTGCATAGCACAGAACGTATCATCCCAATCAGTGTTGGATGGGTGGGTGAATGGATAAAAAACCAAGTCTTTAACTCTTAGTAATAAGAAATGTGAATCAGGGACTTCCCTGGTGGTCCAGTGGGTAAGACTCCGTGCTCCCAGCACAGGGGGCCGGGGTTCGATCCCTGGTGAGGGAACTAGATCCTGTATGCATGCTGCAAGTAAGAGTCCGCATGCCGCAACTAACGGTCCACGTGCCATAACTAAGACCCAGCGCAGCCAAAATAAATAAATAAAATAAAATAAAATAAATAAATAAATAAATAATGTGAATCAGATCGAAGATGTGTTAAAGGTTTCATGTTGGATTTCAAAGAGGTTTACCATCAGAGAGGTACAGAAGATAAGCGTGAGTGACCAAAAATTATTGGACTTTAGGTGGGGTTACATTAGCAGGAAAAATATGACAGATAACTGAGTGGAACTCCAGGAATGGGGAATGGAAAGCAACTAATATATTTAACTGGTTTTCTTGAAAGTTGCTGAATTGCCTCTTGGGGTTACTCAGAGAAGTGTGGTATGGAAGGGGGAAGTTTTTTTTAAAATTTATTTTATTGAAGCATTGTTGATTTACAGTGTTGTGTTAGTGTCTGGTGTACAGCAGAGTGATTCAGTTATCCGTACATATACATATACATGTTCTTTTTCATATTCTTTTCCATTATGGTGTATCAGGGGAATATAGTTCCCTGTGCTATACGGTAGGACCTTGTTGTTTATCTTGGAAGGGGGAAGTTTATAAGCTGATGTCCTCTAGATTGAGAATTAGTGATCATAGTTTTGTTTTTAAACCTTCCTAAATATCGTAAAGATGGAACTGCTCAAGCCTACTGAAAAATTTGGCAATCCCCAGCCTCTGATGGTTAATCGTTTTTGACAAGGAAACTAGAAGAAAGAGTCTTTGCTACACAGAGGCCTGCTCTAGTGTTCGGTATGTACTCTAATCTTGCCTTTTTTTCTTTTCCTTTTTAAATTTTTTTTGCTTTTGCTTTGCTTCAAATTGGGTGTGGTCTTTGGTCTACGACATGTACAAGGCCTTTCATGTGTACCTGGGCCGCCACGCATTCATTCGCCTTGGTCTCAGAGGTTTCAATCATTTTAAGATGCCATCCTGTTTACCTATGCCACTGGGTGCAGGCTGGTGTGCTGGGGACCACGTGGAGACCCACCTTAGCGCTCTTTATAGGATAATCTGTTCCAGAGAGCAGACTCTGCTGGGGGCTTTCTGGGAATGGTCTCATCAAATCCTCATAAACTTTGCAAAGGATGTATTCTTAGCGTCCCCACTTTACGGATGAGGACACTGAGGCTCAGAAGAGATGAAATGACTTGTCTGTGGAGCCTAGATGTGCTTCACAGAAAAGAAGGACATAATAAAATCACGTTCCCTTTTTGTGTCTCCAAGTACTTCAGACTGCTTTAAAGGCCTAAGGCAGTGCAAATTCTTGCTTTACCCAACACACAGAATTATTTCATGAACTCCTGGGTTAGAAGCAGCTCCCAGCATCAGAGGAAACACCTCCACCCTGTAAGTGCTGTGAACCTAAGTGCGGGGGGCAGCGGGGAGGGGAGGGGAGCCACAAGCAGAGAAAATAGCATTCCCGTCTCTCCTAAGGCAGGAAAGCGTTTGTAGACTTGCTTAGAGGAACTGAGGGTTGGAACTTAACACACTGAGAGAGGTATCGGCAGGAGAAGAAATAATTATTTGGGTCTTTATTCTGAGGTAGTTAAGAAGTGGGGGAGTGGTGACATCAGAACTGTATTTAAGAATTGCTTCCACTGCAGGGGGCGCGGGTTCGATCCCTGGTTGGGGAACTATGGTTCCATATGCCGCGTGGTGCAGCCAAAAAGAAAAAGAATTCACTCTCACCTCTGGCCGCACATGGAGAATGGATGAGAGGGAACAGGGGTGGAGGCAGAGAGTCTAGGAGGCTGTTGTAATCTTCCAGAAGAGAGATGACAGGAGTTTGGGCTGGGATCGTGACAGTGGAGACAGAAATAAGTAGATTAAGAGGTATTTAAGAAATAGGGTTGATGTGTTGGGCTGGTAGGACTGGACATGGGAGGGAGGGCAGTGAAGAGTCAAGCCTGGTTTCTGGCTCAGGAAGCAGGGGGGGTAAGGCTGCCCTTCACCGGAATGGGCAACACAGAAAGTGGGTCCCATCGTGGGCGGGGGGGGGGTTGGGGGGGGGATCGAGGGTTCCATTTGGATGCCTTGGATTTGACTGCTGGGCCCACCATTCGGAAATGCGGGCAGAAGGGGACACACTCTAGGGGGCAGGTCAGGACTAAAGGCATAACGTCAGTAGCACAAAGGGGGTCATTGAACCCATGCGCTGGGAGAGGCAGCCCCCTGTGAGCAGGTAGGACAGGAGGAGGAGGGGGGAGGGATGGGCCCTGGAGCTCTTGGGAAGGGCAAGGGTGACGTTAGGAGGAGGCCGTCTGAGGGGTTGAAGGCACTTGGCTATGTGAAGCTGAAGCTTAGGAGAAAGTTCTGGGCCGGGGCTGCGGGAACTGGCATTTAAAGGGCAGCAGAAAGCATGGGAGCAGAGGAGCTCGCCTAGAAAATTTGAGTTTCTGCGTCTATAGCATTCCTTCTGGTAACAGACATGGTCAGCCATAGCCACGTGGTTACTAGAGGTGGAGATGGTCTGGGAGATAATGATTTCCAAAGGAGAAGGGGGCGTGAAGTGCAGGGGCAGGGTTTCAACAGAGGATGTGAGTGTGTAAAGACTATAAAAGGTTTGTCCAGGCTGGACGTGAGTTCCCTTCTTATGACCCTCTTGCCCACCCGTGGCTGTGCTCCAAAGTGGGCGCTCAGCTACCCTGAGGGAGGGACATCCATGGCCTGTGTACTGTCTTCTTCCCTCGGGACCGGGCCAAGCCCTCCCAGCAGCTAGACCGGGTCCTGGCCTACCTGTGAGCATGTCATGAGCAGTGTCTGCTCGCTGCCCCCCTTCCCTCAAGTCTTCCGTGCCGAGGGCAATGCTGAGGAAGGATCTTTGCTCCAGGGGACAAGGTCGCACTGTGGGCACATCCCTGACTGAGTCCCCGAATCCACAAATGTCACGAGTGCTCAGACCAAAGTTCTCTTGTTGGAGAAAGTATCTCCACGCACAACCCAGCAAGTGTCTAGCACGACTTCAGCCTTGTGTTAGAGATTCACGCTCTAAGGCCTTCCAAGTCACTCAGCCAGGAAGGGACTGTGCCATCCAGAGGACCGGAGAGCAGGGCCGGCGGCCGCAGAGCTGCCCCCAATTCTCCTCACGCCCCCGTCTTATTGATGCAGTCATATTTTTCTGCCTGGACACGTGGTATTTGCCTTAAGAAGGGCCCCCTACCGGTAAGGATGACAAAGCCACTCTGGGCTTCTTACATGAAAATAGTGACAAGACTGAGAGGCCAATGCTTCCCTTCCGTTTGTCCCAGTTCCCTGTCCTCTTACCTAAGGTGGAACCGCCTTGACAGCTATTAAAAAGATAAGCAACTGCTTCTCTTTAAGCTTCGCTTAGCTGTGATTAATCAAGAAAAAAACCCAGCCTTTTTTCAATCCTCTGCCACCTTTCCTGAGCAAGCTTTTCACTGGCTACGCTTTCCTGTCATCTGTCAAAGGCTATCGCAGCCTTCCAGGGAGTGTGCTGTCACCAAGATATTTTGTGGTGCCACAAGCTTCAGAACCAAGTTTCTGAAAGTATCACAAGGGTTGGGAACATTCCCTCCAAATGATCCCCCTCCCCGCAACCTGGCCTGGGGCTTCAGATGCTAAATAACCACAATAATGTTAAGAGATCTTTATTATTCAAAAAATAAATAACAAGATAATCACCAGTTCACTCTGGAAACAATGGGGACTGCAGGTAGATACAATAGATTTCCTTTAAATCCAGTCATTTCTCTGGAAGGAGTGGGCAGCCTCAGAGCTGCCCCCTCTGCCTGCCTACCCCATCAACAGTGGTGGAGATAGGAACAGGGTTGAAATAAGATACTTGATTAGCAACAGCCTGACTGTGTGTGTGTGTGTGTGTGTGTGTGTGTGTGTGTGTGTGTGTGTGTGTGTGTGTGTGGGAGAGAAAAAAAGGATGCGAATGAGTGTCAGGGTGACTGCCGGGGAGCAGGGTTTTCGGTTCTCCACTGCATTATACTTTCTAAAGTCTGCCCCACCTCCACCGTGGCCGCAGGGACCCAGAATCCACCATAATTGAATGTGAGCTGAGGCTCCGCGTTTCCCTCCGGCATCTTCACTGAGAAATCAAATACATTCTCCACTGAAGGACACTGCACGCAAAGAAACAAAACTAAACTTGGCTAATTTTCTGCTGTTTACTCAGAATTCGAGCTGTGTGTAATGGCTTTGTCTTTTCATAGGACTCTCTGGATGTCTGCATCAGTGGGGTTGCTGCTTCAGAATATAAGCTCTTATGGAACAGGGGTTTCCTCCGCCCAGTAATTCACTCATTGCAGCCCTATATGCCTCGGGATGTATAATAAATAGTTCTCCATGAGGAGGATCCTAGGGTTATAAATAGGCAGTCCAACGGGCTGCGGTGGGGCGGTCTTAAGTGCTTTGCTGGATTGTGAAGACCGCCAGCGTCGGCCCAGCCGCAACCTGCCAGCTTACACCGTTCAGAGCTTGAGTAAGCCAAACGACGTGAAGCCAGTCCCGTGGCTCACTTGGCTTGGATCAGTCACGTTGACAAACACCGAAGCACCCGGTTGCAATTCAAAGACTCCTCCCAAGTGAATGGATTGCTGCCCGCACGGTTTGGAGGAACTGTGGGTATTTGCAGCTCTCAGTAAGATTCTCTCCGATCCACCTGGGGACTTTAGGCAGAGGCTGGCTATAAATGGAGCTTGACTCGAAGTTTCCCGATTGGAACAGAAGGTGACTTGGGCGTAGATGTAATAGAGCCCTTGTCTTTTCACGGCCAGCTGTTTCCCGTTTTCGAGGGTTACCAAGTTGGTGCTTAGGGTGTAGTATCCTTTGGGGGCCCACTGGAGAACTGTAATGGAGAGGGGAAAAATCCGTGGTCAGGTGGAGCGTACATGATTCAGATTCTAAAGACAATATGGTTTCGTGTTGGATACTGGCTTCACATAGGAGTGGAAGTTTGGGTCGTCAGGGATTCTGAAAGACCCATCCAGCCCTCAGTCTATGGAGGAGCCACGGCTGACCAATCAGCATGGGTTCCAATCAATCAGCATGGGTTGCACGGTCAGACGGAGCTGGGTTCCCATCCAGGCCTTATTTAAGCTTGGGCAAGTCAATCTCCCTGAGCCTCTCAGTTCCTTACCTGTAACACGGGGCTAATATTACAGCCTATTTCAGAGGCTTGTGAAGATTAACTCAAGTAACAGAGCACAGTGAGTTTCCTTCTCCCGTTAAGAGCTCTTAAAGCCAATTTGCCCTTGAACTTAAAAGAATGTGAATGACTTAGAAATCCCAGGTCATAAATTACACCTGCCAAAGTACTCAAAGTCCTTGCTAATACTAACTCGTATCTTGCTTTCCTTGAATTTTCCAAAGTCGAAGACTTGCCGATCTCTCTTGCTCAGCCCCAGCACAAAGACCCCATTTCTTCTTACCTGATCATGCTCTTGCAAACCCGATCCGCCTCCCACAGCAGGGACTAAAATTAGGCAAGGAAGTATGAAAATAAACCTGTCATTTCACTGTGTGTTTTGATCTCCCATTGTAGTGGGCGCCACCAACTTGAAAGTGCCTGTATTCTTGTGGCTAAGCCGAAGTACCCACCGACAATGTGCCATTTTTCTCGCCTGAGATGTTGACTGCGTTCAAAGTAGTGTGTGCAGCCGATTTCAAATCTCAGCCCCCACAGACAGCTAGACTGCCGGGGGTGGAGGGTGGGGAGAAGTGAAAGTATCGATGCATTTGCTTCCTTGAGCTTTCTTTTGAACTCCTATTTGGTGCTCTTAGGCCTATCAGGGTGCAAGACCCCACCTGTTTAGACTCATCCTTTAGTAATTAGGAAAGGCATCCTGCAATGCCTGACATTTCTTGGGCCTCCAGATCACTCTAGAAATGCTTCATTATGGTGTTTTCGCTTTTGGACCATCTGATTGAGAAAACACGGGCAGGTTCCCTATCTTTGAGTCCACAAAGTTTATCTTTGTAAGTCCTTACCTAATTTTCATCCTTGCTGTGAGATGTAGGTCAAGTTTGGAGCAGCGTGACCAAGTAGATCTGAGAGGCTTGTGGGGTAAGAAATGTGACTTTCTTCTCACCTGATCCCCTGCAGACCTACTGTGATGCGGACTGTCAACCATGCTAGGACCAACAGCCATCATGGGCCTTTCGGCAGGATATGTGAGCACTGTGAAATCTATGCAAGGCAAGCTATTCTTCTAGGAGGTGTCTCTGTTGCTGGCATCCATCCAATCTGGATGAGACTGTGTCATGTGGATGACCACCCTGGACATACCAGATATGGTTGTGATATTCTCCCATAAGTGTATTTTATGAGGAAGGTGTACTTGGCAGAATTATTAAATATTGTGGGGTAAGTGTTATTAAAAAGGGCTTTATGTTGCTCTTCTGACAGCTAAACTGCAGTGAAGCAGCTAAGGAATGACACCTTACGTTTGTATAGCACTTGACAGAATAACTTGCTTCTATATTAGCTGATTTGATGCTCAGAGTCACCCTGTGAAGTGAGACAGGAAACTGCTGCGAAGGTAGAGGGACTTGCCCAAGGTCACCCAGCAAGTGGTAGTCATGGTTCTTAAATCTCAGTGTTCAACAACTTTCTATCCAGTGCTCGTTACTCCTGTACCATGATCCAGGATAACTACGTATGCATTATGCCCACTGAGAAGCCCAAGCCACCTCCAAGATGAGGTCCTATCTCCTTTCCTCTCTCTCTGTGTGTCTCTCTATATATCTGTGTCTCTCTCTTACACACATGCACACGCACGCGCGTGCACACACACACACACACACACACTGCTTAGAACTCCATTCCAGAGTGCTGTGTTAAAGTTTTCAAAGACTGCTCTGATGCTCTTGGCCTGCATTTATGTAGATAGGGGATTTTATGCTAGTGTGCATGTTTCCATCCATTTATCAGATGTGCCATATTGTCCAACACCAGCTATCGTGAGGTACAGATTTGGGGGAAAAAAATCTAAGGGCTAGAATCATGGCAGAACGTATACGGAAAGAAAATCACTGAGAGTTGAAAAGATTACAGTATGTCGTCTGTTGTTACTTCATTGGAAAATCTAACATCCTGGCACCTATTGATCTTTGCAGAATGATTTTACCTTTAATTTCCCTGAGGTTGGCCCCAGTGAAGCTGGGGTTAATCATACAGGGATTGGCAGATGGCAGGAAATACCCCTTGAGGCCCATTTGCATACAGTGAAGAGGGGTTAGGACGAGGGATGCTCCCAGTTAGCAGGTCGCTACGTGCCATCTCTTCTGTGTTATCAGAATAATGGTCCCTCCACCCAGTAATTCATCATTTAGAATCAGCCACAGAGCAAGAACCTAATGAGAACATCGGGATTGCTTCTCACCTCCTTTTGTCCCTTCAAGTCCCATCTGGGCATTTGAGCCTACTTTGAAGGCAAAGGCAAGTGCATGAGGCATGTCTGGGTAGCTTTGTAAATTGGCCCCCAGAGGAAGACAGGAGCCTAATTGTTAGGCTGCCTTGCTTTAGCCTCCTGGCCTTCCCCCTCGGGTGGCTGATGCTCAGATGCTCCGGACTTACCAGATGCTGTTTTACTACTGGCTTCACTGATGACATGTGCTGCGATTTGAGGATCCTGATCACCTGAGATGAAACCAAAGACCAACTGTCAGGCCAAAGAAACACAAAAATGGCCACAGAACGATTTGGCCTAGTTCTGCAGCTGGGTCATAGAGACTGTACTTAAATAGGTTATGTGAAAGGAAGGATGAGATGGCCTTGAAATCCCTTGAAACCAGAGGGAAATGTTGGTTTCTAAAATCTGAACAACTGAGTTGGCTATTTACACCGAGCCCATTCTTCCAATCGTCATTCAGTACTTGACTCCGCTTTACATAGACTGACACAGGCTAAAGAAAATGATCTTCATTAAACACATTTTGAATCTTGATTTTAAGAACAACTCCCATCCATTGGTCATCTTAGTGGGCCCAAAGGTCGTGTCTGCACACTTAGCTAGTAAAATGCTTATGGTGTCTGATTTGGTCAAGCACTGGCCACAGTGTTATATCTACCTCTAATGGTTACTCATGTAAAAGGTTTGCTCCTTAATTACACGTGCTGAATCTCCTAAGTGCAGACATGGGTGTGGAAATTGTTTTTTTTTTTTTTTTCCAGTAATGAGCCTGGAGCCGGACACTTTGTAGGTGTCCTATGAATAATGAGTCAAGCTGCATGACCTAAATGACCAGCTTTGTTAAGTGTATCATTTTCCCAAAGACTGCTAGGCAGCACCCACATGAACTGTTTCCTCAAATTTCACAGCAGTTAACAGACAACATGGTACCACTCAACATATTTTACAGTCATTCTGAAAGCAAAGCCTTCATGGAAATCAGGTGACCCTTTGCATCCAGACCAATGGTTAAAGCAAGCTCTTTGCCTCAGAAAACAGTATCTGTATCTCTGTATGTATGTATGTATTTCTTTGTGTGTATTAAATTTACACAAGCCATACCATCTTTTACACTGACTTTGTGATGTAGCAGTTTGTCTAACAACACCCATCTACCAACACTCCATTTTCCCCAAACTCAGCTGCTCGGGTCACTCCAGGCATTATTGTATTTGGTTTGGGGTGCTACATTCTAAAAAGAACAGAGAAAGTTAGTGTGTCCAGAAAAGGACCTAAACGAGGACAAGAAAAAGCCTGGAAAGGGTCATAGGAGAAACAGAGTGGGAGACACTGAGAAGGTTTACCCTGCAGAAGAAAAGGCTCAGGGGCCATGACTGTTGTTTTCAACATATGGACAGCTGCTGTGTAGGAGAGGAATTATATACTTCGTTTAGTATGGCTCCAAAGAGCAGAACTCGCTTCAGTTAGTGGAGATTATAAGAACAAATTTCAACGCCAGAGGAGAAAACCCTTCTCTCGAGTATAATCTTATTATTATAATTATCAGGGCTTTTCAAAGATGGCCCAGGCTGCTTTACGAGCTAGAAGGTGTCTAGGCATGTTTGATCAGACAGTCAATGGTCAGTGCTGTTATGAAGGAGACTCGTGATCTGGGGATGGTGCAGGATTTGAGAACCGTCAAGGTCCCTTCCAACCCTGGGATGTTTGAATGCTCTGACATCAAGAACAGGACAAAGAACAGCGCTGTCACACTGAATCACTCCTGGGTCTCCGAGGCTCCCCCGGCCATGTTTCCCCATGAAAAAACAGTTATCGTTGAGTGATGAATGACACCGCTACCAAACGCTGACCGTCTTGTCATCTTATCCTCTGTAGGTGGTACTAGGCTGTATGGTTGCTTTGATTAAGGTGTTGAAAATAATGTGATTTCTTCATACTTGGTATCGTCAGCACTAAAGGAACACAGCCTTCCCTATAAATATGTCCATACAACTCCTTTCTAAATCACAGGCACCAGAGAAGGTGTTGATTTGGCAATTGTGTTCCTGTTTTATTTCCAGGGCTACCAAGTTCCCTGATCCAACACTGGGTTGTTCAGTATGATCGGCCTAAAGCTTCCTTTTAGTTTTTAAGTATTCGTAGAAATGGCAAAGGGCAACCTACCTTTGTGCATTTCAAAGTTTTTTTCTTTCTTCTTCACTTCTTTGCTTTGCATTATGCCCTAAAATAAGAATCATGGCAAAAGGTCATTTTGACAGGAACTCTGGCGGGGGCTTTAGAGGGAGGTTTCATTCATTTGGCACCTGCCATTACTCCGTTGCCTGTTTCTGGTGAAGATTATGATATAGACTCAGGTCCTGTCATTAATTCCATCCTACCGATTAGGAGCTCATGGCTCTGACAGATGAGCTGACAGCCCAGAAAGCCCAGGGGTGAACCTGGAAACAGAATCTGGGCTTCATTATCTTCCAGTGCTCTCTCCAGACCAATGACTGCCATCCTGACCCCTCCTATGACCCCAACCTCCCTAGCTTTGACGAGTGTTGAAAAATAATGCTGAATGGGGAGCAGTTTCTACCCTGGGAACTGGTACATAGAATATTATTAACATCAACCATGGTGTGTATCTATTAGAATAAAATTGGTCTGAAATCTCTTAGGAAATGGAAATAGTAAGTTTGACCTTGGGAAGAAATCCCAGACTATGAAAAGATCCTCAGACTTTTTAAAAAAAATTTTGTTGTCCCTGTCAATGGGCTGAAGAGATTCTCTTGTTGCTGGTTGCCTTGTGTGGCCCGTTCTTACTTAGAATCATCAGCGTATAGGAAACTCAGGTAATCTCCCAATGCGGCTGATGTTCCAAGCCAAACGCAGCACCTCTTAAGGGGTTTCTTCTCATTAGCAACTGCCGGAAGGCTAGAGGCACTTAAAGAAGCTAGCAGAGAGTGCCATCTACACAGATTGGAAGGTAATAAAGGCTGCTGTTGCCGTTTTAAAGATTTAAAGATACTGAATAAAAGGCGCGGTGGGCTTAACGGGCAGGCATGAGGTCACCCCAGGAATCTGAGGCTGAAGCCGACAGTAGAAACTGAGATCACGTTCTGAGGCTGGGCTTAACGCTGTACTCTGAATACAGATAAGGAAGGCAATAGTATTTTCACATCTTCTGATAATCAAAGTCCTGTGTGCCTTCCAGTTCCTGGAATCAATTTTCTACAGCGCCCTTCCTTTTCGTTCCTCCCCAAGAAGGTATTAGTGTTGTTACTGCTGAGGGGCTCCTTGTACGGTCGGCTCGAGTGCCAGATGTGAGGATGTAAGTCACGGAGCCTAACCAGGAGCCCGCGCCTCAAAACTCTCACGGGGCCCAGAGTTTCAACTTTTTCCACTTGAGCTGAAGTGTGGCAAGTGTGAAAGTGCTGCAACAGGAAAATGTTTGTGAGATACCAAGCAAACAAATGAATATTTCGTGTCTTTTCAAAAGATGGAGTGTGGTGATCGAGGGTGAGATACTTTTAGGCTAGGTGGTTGCATTGGTGTCAGGGCTTTTGGCCAACATGAAAATGTGAAGTCAGCAAAATTTGCCCTTTATGCGCCCGGCCTTGCCTTTCTGTGAACTCTGCCCCAGCCACACTCCCCAGAGCCTTTTTATCCCTCTTGCTTCACTCCCCACCTCAACTGAAAGACTTCTGAAAGTTGACTTTCAGAAAATCTGGAATTAGTTATTTCTCTCTTACTGGGAACTCCATGTGGCAGGGTTGGATAGCTTGACCTTTAACTCGAAAGGGAGATGCTTTGACCTTATCAAAGACACCTCAGGCATTGGAGAGCAGACAGTCACGGAACTGATCATTCTAGCAGGGAGCTGGGGGGAGGGAGAAAGTTTTAATGTGTAATTATACTATTTAAAATGCCGCCTTAATCTACTCTAACATCAGCCCTGAATCCCATCTTCCACCCAGAGTGACAGCTTGGTGCGAACTGCCTCAGGAAATAATGAGTTCCCCATCACTAGAGGTGTTCAAACAGAGATTGAGTGACCTCTGGGTAGCGGCTGTGGGGAGAAGCAGCAGCTCTGGGTTGATAATTGGATCTGATGATTTCGAAGACCCCTTCCTGTGATTCAGGCCTTGGTTTGCTCTGGACCAATCAGACTGTGACCCAGAAAGAAAGGTTGCTAACATTAGCTAAGAATATAAATAATCCAGTTTGGGGGTTATTTTGTAGTTGGCCTGTTAGGTTAAAAAAAAAAAGTCCAAAATATTGTTTTAGAATGAGAAGTTTCGGGGGATGGATATTGCAACGGGGGTCAATCGTTGGAACAGGACTGGGGAGCTGGAGTACTTTGTGTCTGATTGTCGTGCGCATCGTTGGTGCAGATGACGTTGACTCGGACTCCACCCCGCAGCACTGGAGGCAAGGGGCTTCCTCTGTTGCATGGAAGGAGCCCTGGCGGACATGCCTGAGAAGGTCTGCCTTTCCAGAGTATGAAACTTGGGAGCTGTCACTTTTTTCATGCAAGCATAAGCGAAGAGGCCAAACTGACTTTCTTCCTTACTTTTGTCCTGGGTAGCTGATTTGGGAAGCTTTACATATCCAACCTGAAATACAGCTGTGAGGAATTGGCAGTACAACTGTAAAACTCTAAGTAAGAAAGAGGGAGGGAGGGAAGACACCAACAGCCACTCTCACTGCCCTTGGGGGTAACTGAAGTCTGATCACATAATTACAGGATGTCAGAGCTGGTAGTGCCCTGGCAGATCATCTCAGCCCTCTCATTGGATAGATGAGAAAATTGAGGCCCAGAGAGGTGAAGTCATTTTCCCAAGGTCACACAGCCCAGCACATTAAATATGTTACTTGGATTATTAAGTATTGTTCTCAAAGTGGCTTTATTCCCATTTAAATTTGCAACACCTTCCAATACCCTGTAGTACTGGCCAGAAGCCTTGAAGAACTAGAGAAACTCAAATCGTTTTCAGGCCTTGCAAATAGAGTTAGGAGTCTTTTTCTAAAACCTAGATTAGTGTAAAGAACCTAAAAGCCATCAACAGACTTGAGCTGCATTCTGATCCCCGTAGGTGACCCAGGAATAAGCTTTCAGAGTCCTCACTACTGGATTAAATGACACACCGGGGACAGTACAGGAGAACAGGAATAAGCTCAGAAATAAGCTCTCAGGTCCTTCACTCCCAGGTTAATTACACATTATCCACATGTGAGAGCTGACTCCTGTTGGTTTCTCCAGATACCCACCCATCTGGCACAGCACTGCCCTCAGCCTGGATGCGGCCTCCTAGTCACGACCCCCAAGTCCCCTGAGGGCCCAAGGTATTTGACTCAGTGTTCTGAGGGGGAAACAGGCAGAAAGCCTTCTTGCTGTTCTTCTTCTGGAGAAAGAGCTCCTAGACCCCTTGTCTACAGCGATGGAATTAATGTTGTGGGCATGTCCTCAGTAAACGGTCTAGAAACTCTTGCTTTAGGTACCTATCATAGGCCACTGCAGTTACTTGATGCTGGGCACCAGTCTGTTGGGCAAGAAGGCTTCAGACTTTCTGCCTCAGGTCTTGATTGGCCCTAGAGGGGACTGACTCCATGAGCAGGTGGTATGATACAGGGTCTGGTTCGAGCGGTACTGAGACGGTCCACCGCCAATTGCCCACACCTCTCCTCACAGTAAAAGGAAAAGATTTCACTTACATGGCACCTGAAATCCCATCACGAGAGAAGCGTTCCTTCATATGTTAGAGTCTATCAGTGTTCAGAAGCCCCCACCGCCCCCAGTAAAGGCAAACCCTTAACCTGTGGCCTGCCAACGCTGCAGTGGCCAATGGTTATCGCTTCCCTGGGAAATGGGGACCAGACCCTGGGTCCACAGTGGGAAGGCATCAAGGTTTGGATGGAAAGATAAGAAAGTGCAAAAAACAAACTTGGTAGACTTCATCCTTTTTCCTGAGGCATCTGCATGTCTGAGCTCACGTACATGTGTGAATGTGCCCATGAGAGTGTGTATTTTCCCCAGAGAGAGTCTCTTTTGTTCTTCTTAAGGGCATCCCTATCAACGAGCACACTTCCAACTTTCCTTTCCCTTTTAACCGTAGGATTTTGGCTTCATTTTTGCTTTTTTGATACACATACCCATATATACATGTATGTACATATGTATGGCGATATGTATCTATAGTATATATATAACACATGTTTAAATTTTACATGGTCACGTTTTAGTGTCCCAACCTAGCAGGTTTTCTCAACCAAAACTTTTCAATGACACTTTTCCCAACAACTGAGGTCCTTACCGTGACCAGGTCTTCAAACTGGCTTCTAATTTCCTCACAGTTCAGTAATGATAAGGACCCCTCTCCTTTGCTGCATCGCTGTATCGTTTTCATGAACACAAAATCTTCATGAAGATTCCTTTCATCTTCTATCTATTTATGAAATAACAGGGACATGAGACATTGTACTTCTGTCTGCCTGTACAATCACTTCATGGCCTCAACGACATGAGGAGGACTTTGCAGATATAAATGGGGCATAATAACAAGTTAGTATACTGGATTACTGATATCTGGTATTAGCAGTTTAAAAAATCTACAAAAGCCAGCAAAGAAAATGTCATGTGGTCTGCAATGCTAGGTAGAAATCACAGCTATTCTAGTGAAATTTCATCGCAAAGTGTACTTTTTCCCGTGTATTGTAGCAGCAACAGTCTCTAATGGTCATATTTCCCATTGCTTCAGTAATGATTGGTCATTATAAACACAGTCTATAAAATTGTTTTCTGCTGAGCTAATTTGCCCACTTGGTTTTAGTGTTTGTGTTGCAGTGCTTTGGTGAAGGTAATTTGCAATGTGTATCAATGACTTGAGTTCTAATTACATCTCTCTCTTTTTAAGTTTAGTATTTGCAGAAAACATTTTCATTTTTAAAGAAATCATCTTTCATTCCCAAAGGTAATGAGATATTTTATTTTCCGATGTCTTAGAATAAGTAAATATATGGAATTCACTTGTTTAATCAACTAACCTGTGCCATTTTCTTATATTCAGATTACATTTTTAGATTCAAAACAAGATCCAGCTAGCCAGTGGCTTTCACTGTCATTAAGAGAACATCCAAGTGCCAGGGTAAATTTGAATCTACCCAGGTCAGTATTTGCCCTATAGAGGCTAGGCTTATGTCCAGGCATTTGATTGGCAGAGCCCAGCAGGCCAAACACAAACAAACAAGCAGACCCAGAGCCCTGCTCTTTTCTCAGCAGTGAACCCTAAAATTTGGGTAACCCAAGAATTGCCTCAATTGTTCCAGCTCCACCTTATCCTGATAGAAAACCTCCTTGTCTTAATTCAAGATTGGCATCCCAATAATGGCCACTCGCACACCCCTGAGAAAACGCAGTCTCCAGATGCTGTGCATCCACAATTCCCACATCTAGACTTTTAGGAAGAGCCAAATAATGGACCAAATTTCTCCTTTTCATCTATGGTTGGTATTTTTCCAACACAGCCAATAATGCTTATGAGTGGAGGTGGGTAAACTCATGGAAACAGGATAAATCTTAATGGTTATTTTTCTTAAGAATGCAGAACAACCTGCTAACTTCCTCCACTCTTTTGTTCTGTATGTCCAACTATTTAAGAACATAAAACATCTCAGAGGGAAACTGAGCAGCTTGCAACTACAATCAGCATTTGAAGAATTATACAGAGAACGCCACTTTCAGGGACTTACCCATGTCTATGCTAACCTGAAACTATGCATTTCCAGCTCAGATTGATGCTCTCCTTGTCTAGTTGGAGATTTAGAAGAAAACCAGTTGTCTCCATCAGAAAAAAAATAGTTTACTTTTTAAGCAAAACCTTAGCAAATCATTATAGCTCATGTCTACGTAGTGCTTACTTTGTGCCTGGCTCTGGTCTTAGCTTGAATTTAATCTATGAGGTGGGTACTATTAACATCCCCATTTCTCAAATGTGGAAACTGAGGCATAGAAATGGCAAATAACTTGCCTGGGATCACAGAACTAGTAGGGGACCGAGTCAATATTTGAACCCAGCAGTCTGACTCCAGAGCCAAGGTTCTTGACCAGAGAAAAGAGTAGAACATCTCTCTAACTAGACCACAACCACTATGCCACAAGACCACTTATCTATTTGGGTTCTTACCATTGTCCATCATTTGGGTAGAACTAAAACCAACCAACCCACACATCTATAAGAACCCCAAATTTAGTTAATAAAGGCCTACAGTTCACCTTACCTTGTCCAATCTTCTGTGAAGATACACAGCAAAAAGCGCTGACCCAATCATCTGGGTGATAAGAAAAACAGTCAGTAAATACATAAAAATTTTCATACTGACAGGTGGTCCAGTGGCCACAGAGCGGGGAGAAGGTTGGCTGTATGTTTCGATCATGCTGCGTTCGAGTTGAAATGATGTCTTCTGACCGAGAAGGTGGCAGAGGCAGCATGAGAAGACTGTCAAAGTGGCCACCTTACTCAGGATTAGTTAAGAGCGCACAATCGTCGCAGCCCACACTTCCTGGAAAATGTGCTTCGCAGTCTTCTCTCCCAGCAAAAAAAGTTACGTAAAGGTTTTTTGTTTTTTTTTTCTTTCTTTTTTTTTTACCTACCCATATCATTCACTTCCAGGCTTTCCCTTTCGTTAGTAAAGAAGAAACAAGTTTCTTCTTCCATACATTCATTCTTGCCTTGAAATGTCATAGACTTCTTAACAGACAATGGCAGTACTTTCCTATCGCTGTCTAACGTTTGGGGTTCACCAGTTTCAAGGAAAGTGACAAATGAATCCACCAGCAATAGAATTATTTCAATCTTACTAATACAAAGCGGGAACCTGATAGATGAGGAAAGAAAGAAACATCAACAAAAGTTTGGATTGATTTTGTGACTGGCTTGCCACTGGCTAACTGCTTGTTAACATTTCTTTCATCTTTAAACCCAACGAAGTCCCGGCGGCTTTTCAAGGCAAGTCTACATGGCATAAAGCAAAAAGGAGTGCTGACAATTAGTAAAGAAAATTTAGCTGGAAAGATAATTCAAGAAAAATACACTTTTCCAAGGCCAAGAGAAGTAGGGTCTTGGGGTAATTCAGGCCAAAACTCTGGGATTGAAGTTAAAGTAGGAATATTAGCTTGATTTAGCCAAGTTGTCTGTCTACACTGTTCCAGTCCATCAGATAATTGTTGATGCCAATGTATCCGTTTGGACTAGGGAAAATAGGCTGCAGTTAAGAGACCTGAATTCTAGTCCTTGGTGTACCAATAAATTGCTGTGGACCTCGAACCTATCACTTTCCGTCTCCAGACCTCAGTTTCCTCATATCCAAATGCGCAGTTGTACCCACCTTGCTTATCCTCTAGGTTGTTAAGAAATCAAGTAAAGGTGTGCATGAAAGATGGTTGAAACACGTTGAGCTGTAGAAAAACACTCTCACCTTGGGTTTTATGCTATTTGTTTAGCCTATGATATGAGTTTTCCAAATAATTGCCAATTCCTTACATACTAGCAAAAAACAAATGAACAACATCAAAAACACCCAGCGTCATGACAACGAACTGAATTATTGAAGTGTGTAGAATTATGCATTTCTGAATGGCTTTTGATGGTCTTATCAGATCGCCTTCGAAATAAAAGTAGCTGTGGAAATCCCTACCCCACATCCCAACCTGGTCTAGAAACCATGATAAGATTGCTTTGGTGATTCCTATAAGATTGTTTTGAGACACAAATAGGAAATGTAACAAACTCCTCTGATAGGCATGCTATCTGCATAGTTACCACCTGCTGTCTTCCCCTCCCACGCCCCAGCATCCTGTCCTGGGCACAGATCTCACTACATCTGCCAAGTAGGTGGCTTCAATGCATGTGATAAACTTTGATCAGTCAAGTCAGAGGCTTCAGTTCTTAGACAAGGAACCTTAGTTCCACTAAAGGAAAATTATCACAAGAACTAAAAGGGGCTCGAGGACTTCTCCAGGAACAGCTTCATACCATGACAGCATGCCAGAGCTGCAAGGACCCTGTGACCATCAGATCAGTCCAGCCCCGAGGGAGAGGTCGCTGAAGGGACCAGAGTTGCCGACAATGCCACATTTGTTCACGTGACCAACTTCAAGAGAGAATTGTCCAATCTCTCTGCCTCCACTTCCTGACTTCTGCTTACAATATCCCCCTGAAACTGTTTCCACCATTATTAGCACAATCGTTGGGGCTGAATACTTTTTATTTCTTTTTATTTTAAACATCTTTATTGGAGTATAGTTGCTTTACAATGGTGTGTTAGTTTCTGCTGTATAACAAAGTGAATCAGCTGTACATATACATACATCTCCATATCTCCGCCCTCTTGCGTCTCCCTCCCTCCCACCCTCCGTATCCCACCCCTCTAGGTGGTCACAAAGCACCGAGCTGACCTCCCTGTGCTGTGCGGCTGCTTCCCACTAGCCCTCTATTTTACGTTTGGTAGTGTAGATATGTCCATGCCGCTCTCGCTTGGGCTGAATACTTTTTAGAGTTAATTTTCAGTGACCTTTCCAGTAGTCTGTTGACCTATTATTTTGTTGTCATCCTTCTGAAAACTCTCCCCTCTTGCCTCTCAGAATCCTTCTTCGTGTGATTCTTTCTTCCCTTGTACCTCTTAAAACTTTGGTATCTCCCATCCTCATGCTCATCCCCTCCCCTCTTCTCATTCTACATGTTTGCCTTGGATGATTCCCATCCATTTTCATGGTTTTCACTATCACCTTCATAGTGATAAACCTCAAATGTATAACTGCAGCCCTGAACTGTGGATTTGTAAGTGCAGCTACCACTGAATGTGTCCACTTGGATACCCCCAAACCACCCCATATTTGGCATGCCCCAAACTTAACTCATCTCCCCACTCCACTTCCAACCCAGACTTGTCCTCCCTCCAGGCTCTCCCCATCTCAGTGAATGGTACTACTACACCCACATAATTGTCCGAGACTTGGGAGTCATCAAGGATTCCTTCCTCTCTCTTGCCCGGATTACTCCCCAATCCCAGTGGCTTCCTCATCCCCAAAGCTTCTCGACTGCCACCACTCCCTTCTATCCCCCTGGGCAACATTCCAGTCTAGGCCCTCATCCCCTCTCTCCTGCATGACTGAATTGTACGTTCCTAATTGATTGCCTTGCTTCCCTTCCCGCCCCACCCCATCCATCCTCCATACCACCAGAAGAATGTTAACTCTAAATCTTGTAACTGACCATATTATCTAACCCGATTTTACCCCCCTAAGACGATACATTAGACCCAGGGAAGCAGATTGGCAGCTTCCTGGCATGTTCAATGTGAATGGGATTAGCTCCGGAATAGCCTGATGGTCCTGTAATCCTTGAAGCCTCCTCTTTCTCCCATCTTTCTTCTGCCTGGTCCTCTAGATTGCCGCAACATTGGCTACCTTTCCAGCGTCCACATTTTAGCTCTACTTTCTGATTCTGTATCAGATGTCCTTTGTGTGTCTCTCCCCCAACAAGGAGTGGCCCGGCCCTGGTGCTGGGTCCCCTTTAAAAATCTTCAGTTGCCTAATGCATTCAGAAGTGATTTTTAAACTAGGTTACCAAGAAATCTGTAGACCTGGGGAGTACAGGGAACTGCCTGCAGCTAAAGTCAAATATTGACTATCCTTTTCTTAGTTCACAGAAAGAATTAAGTGAAGGGATTGAATTGTTTGTTACATTTTCCAGTTTTTCTTGCATAAAATTTTCTCAAATCTCTGTCACCCTTTTCTACTACTGATTTTCTTCTAGCTGATGATTGATCTGCAACAAATAAGCATCAAGGAAAAAACTAAAAAAACAATGGATCGCACACATTCTGATGTGACTAGGCTTGTGGTTGTGATTTTATATTGATAACCTAGAACACAGTCAGAGTTTCTGCTAGGAAAGTTATTTCCAGTACATAAGAAAGAGTTAAATATATCAGCATTTTCTTTGCTCTACAAAGGGCCTCTCAAGGACTCTTTTCCCTGAAGATGTCTGGAAAACCCTAGCCTAGAGGATAGTGTTTCCACTGTAAGCATGGCACAGGTTTTGACCCCTGCCCACCTTTCTGTCTTCATCCCCCACCACTCACTCATGCTCAGACTTGAGCCTCACCCATGTCCGGCTAAGCTTATTTCCCCAAATGTGCTGTGTTTGTTCAAGCTGTTCCCCTATGAACATCGTGACTCCCTCCTTTTTTATCCACTAATGTTGAAGAGATACCCGCTCCGTGAAACATGCCCTTGCAGCTGACAAGGTGCCCTCTTCTGTGCTTGATCTATCATAGACTTTGATACATCACATCATAACTGACTTGTCAGATTTCCCTACCATTAGCTTCTAGAGGAAAGATAATTACAAATCTCAGAATCCCTGCTTCCTGACACATTGTAAGGAATTAGTAAATCTTTGCCCAATTACTAAGTTTTCTTTTCAGGAGATAGAAGGGGAAGTTGTAAAATACTCTAATCTGGTAGAAGCGATACAAATCACAATATATTTGTGTTACGTTTTCTTCTACTCCTTGAATTATCTCTCTTTCCTCTGGGGTCAGTTCCATTTGTTTATTTTGGTCCTTCTTCTTTGTGTTGATAGTTTTCCTCAAATGTCTGGTGACCCTTAGTTGTCTGGTCATATTTATGAATGAAGATCTATGTTAGCTTTTATGGGTGGATGGCATGGGTTTCCGCTACAATTGCGTTGATCTGTTTCCCCCACAAACCTCTCCCCGGAATGGGAGGGCCGACTGTGGGTTCTGTTTAAGTGGGTAGAGCTTGTCAACAGGCAGGTTTCCCTTTAGGTTATGTGGGTTGAGAGGCAGGAAGGCCGGGACCCCCACAACTGATAAAGTAAGGAGGGCTTTTCTCTGGGGGTGGAGCCCTTTAGAGCGTTTCGCTCTTGACTGAGGCTGGTTTTCCTTTTGTTTTCTTTTGCCTATTCGTTGTGGAGGTCTCAGCACACTCCCTAGAGTCCTCCTCCGGCAACTTTAGCCTGAGGGCAAAGGCCCGATGTTGCTGCTGACAAAGGGTCCATGGGGGAAGGGAGAGAGGGAGAAAAGGGGTCCACCTGTCCTAGCTGTTCCACTGCAGCTCTTTATTGAGTTGCCATAATGATTCCTTCCCTGCCCACCCCTGCTCTGCATTTACCAACTCTGAGATTGCTGCCTCCTTGAGAGAACCCACCCTTACTTCTGATTTCTTGAATTGCAATGTTTTCTGCTCTGATTTCTCTGTTAGCCCAAATTCATTGGGTTTCTTGCTTCCTGGTATCCCTCAAAATTTATTTCACATTGATGTCACCTTTTCTTGTTTCCCATTGTTGCTGTGATTTCATTCTGTTTACATTTATTTGTGACTGAGTAATACATTCACGTGGTTAAATATGTAAGTGACAGAAAAGAGTGTGCAATGTAGTCTTCCTTCTGCCTTTTCCTCCCAGTTCT